TATAATAGACATAAGAAATGACATCTCCATCTGATGCAATCCGAAACAGTGCATTGCATAATCCAAACCTGAAGACGAACTAGCCCGAAAGGCGTCCGGGCGCACGATTCCCCTTCCAGAATCTATTTGTCCTAAATTAGGATGGTGAAAAAAATTCAGAAACGCTTCCAGATCACTCCACAATGGTATCAATAAACCATGGAGTCGCCAGTCGCCGCGAGAACCGTCTGCTCTCCCACGAGATTTCCGTGGAAAGCGGGACACGCCGCGCGTTCCATCCTGAGTCGCCTTGGAGATGCTCCTAGCAGCCAGCCAGAGGAGTCAATAGACTCTACATTGCGGCAGATGTACGTATCGATTTTGGAACGTTGATTCGCGCGTGTTCCAGAACGATACTGTTGCCCCCCATTGGACAGGGAGGCACGGGGAGATGTTGCATGGCGTCTCGTGTACGCTCGGAGTTGCGCTCCTTTTTCCATCAACGACGACGTCCACGTCGGCAGCAGGCATGCGGGACGAGGCAGGGGGTTTTGGGAGCACCTGGAGGCCACTGGGTGGCCGGCATTGCCCTCGCCAGGTGGTTGCAACTTGTTGTTGCGGCTCCCCGAAACCTTTCTGCCAATGTCTCTATGGTGTCAAGCAACATTCGAGTGCTTGACTTGTTACCATTAAACTGTAGATTTAATTAACGTTTAATTAACAACTCTTGCTGATTTATGTCGATGATTTATATTAATATTTTGTATGTACTTTGTTTATTGTTTATTTTTAGTAGTACATTGTATGGTTCAATCATGTCCTTTTATCCTGAGAGAAAATCGAAAAGAGAATTGAAATTTCAATGAAGTATTCACAAATTTATTTTCGAAATATTGGAATTTAAATCCAGAAAATTAGCTTTAGTCATTCATATTGATGATATTTTCTTAGTATTAGTTATTTTTTATATCCATTAGTTGTTAGAGTTGCTATTAATTTTCATAAATTAAAGAATTTAAATCGATTTTAATATTTAAAAGGATTAATTTCGTGATGATAATTAATTAAAACAGATATTCTTTTATCCAGAAAATTTAATAAAATATACTTACGATCGGGAGAAATCAGAAATTGATTTATTACTCCTTTTCCTTGCTTTATTTACGAGTGCATAATTTTCTATTATAATCGATTTGAAAAATTTATCCAAACATATCCAATCATGCCAATTATTCGATATATTTTATGACATTATCTTTGTCCATTTTTAACAAATATTTATTGCTTCATTTAACGGCCTGAAAATAAAATAAATGACGAAAGATTTTATACAGAAAGCCAGACATAAGGATAGTTTTTGATTTACCATAAAGCAATCCATTTTTAAGAAGTATGATGCAAGATTATATAACAAGATTCCTCGAAATTCAAGATTATTCAGAATCACGTGTTTAAGCAAGAAAGTTTGTGAAAATGGGAAAACATATGCAGCTGCTTTCCATGGATCATTTACGATGCCCGTTACCCTTGGCTGAGAGCTGATACGTCCTTCAGGCACGACCCCATTGTCCACGGTGAAAGGTATACGTGGACGATCTTCCGCAAAATAAAAAGGAGCCTCGGTGTGGTCACCCCTCGTGTGGCACGCGCCACGATCCACCTTTCTTTTTTCTTCATCGTGCGGCCAGCCGTCGCCTTTCAGATCCCTCGGATAAGGAATCCTCCCTACTGCGAGCGGGGGAACTTTTTAGAATGTTACTCGTTCTGCGTACGAATGAAGGAAAGAGAGAGAGAGAGAGAGAGAGAGAGAGAGAGAGAGAGAGATC